TTATTACTGAAACATGCACGATCGAACTCGAACCGAGATGGTCAATATTTTTGTATGATAAAGTAATTCTAAACTTAAAAAATTTAATTATCAATTGAAAAATTGTAACAAGTGAAAAATATTAGAACTAAAAATTGCCAATTTTTGTCGGTTCGTCGAACCGTGTTTAATTAATTGGCGAAACGATTCAGCTGTAATTTTGAGAATTTGGTGTTGCTAGACACCTCTAGGGAAATTCTTGTATTCCTCATTTCGCGAAGAAAACCGCTGGAACGAAAGCCTCCTTGAAAATTCACCCTTTCTTTTCGCGTATTTTACGCTCGTCGCATCGACGCCGCCCGAAATTACTCCTTCTTTTTCTTCTTTCGAAATGAGCAGGCGCGAATTCAATGCGCCACGAAACGGACAGACTTCATTCCATTCGGGCTGTTGATTACTTTTCATTGTTAAACGTTACGGTTAAAAATTTTAGGCCGATTCTCATTTCCGACCGGATACGACTAAAACCTTCTGAGAAATCACTTTCTACTTTTATATTGTTTGTATACCTGTGTATGTTGCGTTTTCCTGGCGTGTAGGCGTGAAATGTTCGAGCGAAAGCTTCGACATAAAATGTCTTTTAAAGTAAAGACGTCAATAAAAATAAGAGTGCAGCGGGGAATTTAAATTTTTAGATTAATATTTGTCGGCGACAGCGCGAATATTTTGAGTAAAAAAACAAACTTTTATATGACAAAGGAAAAGATGAAAGTAAAATAGAACAACTGAATCATCGAATGATATTTGAATTTTGTAGGAGTTTTGATTTGATAAGAACATCGAGAAAATTGAAATTTCTCAGGAAACTTTGTAAATTGTTTATTTTAATCAAGGTTTCGTCTTTTCGTATGTTTTAAATCATCCCCTTATACACTTTTATTTTAATTGCACTGATTTATATTTATTTAATAACTAAGTCAAGAGTAAAATATTAAATCATTTAAAATGTTTACATTCTTGGAGTAACAGAAATCATGTTGAGAAAATACTTTATTCTTACAATTTGTAAAGATTCATTTTGGAACAACTTTTTTCTTAACGAATAAAAATCATTGATATTTCGATGAGAGGAAATTTGTAAATTAAATAAAGCATACATTATCTTCTTTATTGTTATCTTGGAGTTTTTGTCGTGACAGTAGTTGCTTAAAAAAATAAAACTGTATTTCGCTGAAATATAACGTATCGTAATCTTGATAAAAATTCATATTTCTTCCTTGTTAAGTATTGATTGCATCTGCTATATAATTATTGGTTTCAACGTAAAATTAAAATGAAAGTTTCATTAATTATGCCTATTAGTCATCGAATAGCCAGAACTATGTGATAGGCAAATTGGCAAAAACAATCTTGGTTCAAATGTTCGTAAGTAGGTACGTAGACCTATATATAACTGCACGAAACTTATTTCTGGAAAGCTTAGTTAACCAGTTTTTAGAAGTTTCAGCGACTACCAATTAGCCACCCTTCTCACGCTCACGGTGAAGGGATCTTTTGGCCGTTTCTACTATTCCTACCCTATCAAATCCCGCAAGTTTTGAATTTGCCTACTTTGGACCAAGTTGTATTAAAACTCTCAAACCACAAGTGAATAAACGTAGTAGGTTCGAATAGCCAACGGTGCTGCGAAAGCAAAAGTCGAGAAATTTATATCAGCAAATCAGCAGTATTCTCTATTTACATTTATTTAAATCCAACAGACTTTAATTTTATAAAATGTAATCACATTTATATAATCACATTTCCAATGTAATCGTTTACCACGATATCTTTTCATGTATTCTTCGCATCTTAAATATATTATTTGAGAAACAAACGATCAAATAACCATTTATTATTCTGTTTTCATGTTTTATTTAAGTCTCTTTAGATTTAAATCTCTCTGTGATCTCAGCGACTTTGTAATAAATTCTTTAGTGTGTTTCGGATCTAATTCAATCTCAGCATTACGGCGCCAATTACTCGAAAGAAACTGTTTTACTGCTGATGGCGCTGTAAACCGACTGGTTTGAAAACACATTTGCTAGGTAGATTTAGCCAGGCAACAAGAATCATATTACTAAAAAATCGTTCTCGCAAAAACAATTGAACCTTACAAATAGTTAGTTAATATATAGTCAGTTAAAACTAACCATCTTCTAGAATCCAGTCGATGAATGAAAAATTTCTTAACTCTTCTCACAAATTTTTCTAAAAGTTGTTTGAGTACAGTAAAATGTGTACTTAAACATTTAAAACAAGCAATCTTTATTATTTTGTTAAAAATGACTTATTGGGAAAATTACCAATTTTATAATAAAATTGAATATGAGTCTCATGATTCGATATGTTACTGCTTCCATTAATTGCAGTAATTATTCTATCAGGTTTTTAATTATTCCTGAGTAATTTTTTTACATGTTACTCCAATATTAAATACCTCCACCAGTATTTCTGTGATTTTCAATCAAGTCTAGAGATTATGGTGGCTATTTCATAATTTTTAATACATTTTCATTCCCCAATTTATAAATAAGTTTTGTACAATTTATCAGTATGCTTAAGATAATTATTTTGCAAATATGTTTAAATATTATTCGTTGAGTTTATTTCCGTAAAAGCAATCCCAGACAATAATTGAACCATCCTTTCCTTTCTTTCGTTAACTCTTTATTATGTTTGTATTATTAACTCTTTAAATTTTCTATTGGAATTGATATTTGAATTTTCTACTTGAATTGAATTGTTTGGATTAATTTATATGCCATAGTAATTCTGAACTTTTCATTAGAAATTCTTTAAATGTTCTACTTGAATTAATATTCGAATTTTCTACTTGTATTGATATTTAAATTTTCTACTTGAATTGATATTTCAGTTTTCTACTTGAATTGAAAGTTGAATTTTCTATTTGAATTGAATTGTTTAGATTAATTTATACACCATGGTATTCCTAAATTTTTTATTAGAAATTCTTTAAATGTTCTACTTGAATTGATATTTTAATTACTACTTTTAATTTCTACTTAAATTGATATTAGAATTTTCTACTTGAATTGGAAGTTGAATTTTCTACTTGAATTAAATTGTTTCGATTAATTTATACACCATAGTATTCCTGAATTTTTTATTAGATATTCTTTAGCTGTTCTACTTGAATTGATATTTGAATTTTCTACATGAATTGACATTTGAATTTTCTACTTGAATTGATATTTCAGTTTTCTACTTGAATTGAAAGTTGAATTTTCTACTTGAATTGAATTGTTTGGATTAATTTATATACCATATAGTGTTCCTGAATTTTTATGTTTGTATTATTATTAAATAAATTATATTACGTTTGCAAAAAAGTACATTTTGCTAAATAATTCGGTTTCACGAACACTGTGTTTCTAAATAAATAATGTACGTAGAGTGCAGTCGTATGTATGGTCATGTTCGTCGTTAAAAATTAATCGTTCTTATTTACATACTATTGTTGTCGGCTCCAATACGCAGCGACATCGCAAAGTTATCTCGATTCCTATTGGTACAGAGGGACTTCCATTTCGACGTTATTTCCCGACAGAACGGTCCAAATACACGGCTGTGAATTTTCCAAAGGACCACATAGTCGGCGTTCTGGGAAGTCGCTTCGTACCCTAACGATTTGCTAACCGACCACTGTTTATAACTCTTCGCGCAGGAACGCTTGAATCGGTGGCTTATACCGTGCGCGCTATAAAATAAATTAATTAATTTTCCTTGCAGAAAATAGTTGCAATTTTCACTGCAACCGTATCCCGCTGTACAGTCGTGGATTTCAGTACACGTTATTAAACAACCACATCGTGACTACCTACAAATTTATTTTGTCGAATGGAAACTATAAATTATAGGAAACTACTCAAAAAGAGACACATTTTATAATTATAGGAAAAAGGAAATGTATTTTCTCTTAATATCCAAAATATTTTAATTCTACAAACAAAACCATATTTGCCTGATTTAAGTAGAATATATTAATACCTGCCCCCCCCCCCCCTCTCACGTTGTTAACTCCGTACTTGTTCGAGGAGTTAGATTATGTAGTAGATCAATTTATTTTATCTACGATCACAATAACTTCTTAAAATTAATAACCAGAAATATGGTCTAGCAAAGTCCAAGTTCTGGTCAGGCGTCCAAATGCCTTCAGAAACCAAGATGTTCCCGTTGGCGTCCAAGTGCCTTCAGAAACCAAGATTGGTCTGGTTGGCGTCCAAAATGCCGTCCTCGAGGAAGACGTCATGTCTCCCTCTTAGTGCCTCCTTGGAGGCGTCGATGTTCGGATTGGGCCTTGTCCTGCCCAATCCGGAATTTGTTTAGGTTTTGGATTGTGCAACGCCCACAGCCTAGTTTGTTCATCTTGCAAATCAAGGTCTGCAGGACGTTGGACAATCCCTGGGTTAATTTATTACCCTACTTTGTCCTAGTGACTGTCCTGGTCCTGATGGCAAGCACGTGAGGGTCTGCGATACATCAATTGCCGTTGAGGGTGGTCTAACCGGGGACCGTTTCCAGAGAAATCTGAAACCGGCATCCGGCCAGACCTAGTCCTTTGGAAATTGCATGCTGTCCGTGAAAAATTGTGACTTCCTCAAAAACGCCACTGTTCATTGTCGAGTGTAGCGGAAACCCTTCACGTGGCGGCAACATACCGCCCACCTTGAACGATTCGCGTTCAATACGTGATCCTTAGAATAATCCTTAATTCTATAGTCCACACAATTAATACAAGTCCAATAACAAAGAACGAAAATCCATACAACACACAAATCCTTACAATTAACATGTTATCCTAACATTAATACACAATAAACTGATAAGCGTCCAAAAATACAGGATATACCTAAGTTACAATTATGAGTGTCCAAAACTATGAGTGTTCGAAACATATCAAAGGTCCCGCCACTGTTCTACACTTACACTTATGTGTACATAAACATTGGCACATTAAACTAAAGTGCAGTCCGTCCATCTGGTGTCTTTGCCCCTGTAGTCGGCACCGACTCGTGGTCCACAGGTAGCAGGCATACCTTGGTCACTGGCCTTTTTACTAGGCCATCAGCTGTTCGTACGGTCACTACCCTAGTGACCTTGTCCTGTCCTGGGTGAATGTCCTCGATCCGTCCAAGTCGCCATCGTAAAGGAGGTAGGTTGTCCAGTGTGCCAGGCCCAAATCTACCTGGGGTAGAGGTCCGCCACTTGTTCCGCTGTTGTAGCTGGTGCAGGTATTCAGATTGCCACCGTTGCCAGAAGTGCTGCACCCGCTGCTGTATAAGTTGGAACCTGCACAGTCTGTTTGATTGAATATCACGCACATCGGGTTTGGGGTGTGCCGTGAGCGCCTCGCCAATCAGGAAATGTCCGGGGGTCAACGGGTCCAGATCCGTAGGATCAGTAGAGAGAGGAGAGAGAGGGCGGGAATTAAAGATTGCTTCCACCTGTGTGAGCATGGTGTACAATTCCTCGTACGTGAGAATGGTCTCACCAATGACCCTTTTTACATGGTATTTTGCTGATTTTATAGCGCCTTCCCACAACCCCCCAAAGTGTGGCGCGCGAGGAGGGATCAAGTGCCATTGTATATTTCTGCCTGACAGAAAGTCCTGTATTTGCTGATTCTGAACCTCATTCTTAAATACGTTAGTCAGTTCGCGTAGTTCGTTCCGTGCCCCAATAAAATTAGTACCGTTATCCGAATAAATGTCCTGGCATAGACCTCGACGACTAATAAATCGCATTAAGCAATTTAAAAAGGCGTTTGTTGAGAGGTCTATTGCCAATTCGATATGAACCGCCTTTGTGGCGAAACAAACAAACAGGCACATATAGCCCTTTGTAGTCGTCCTTGTTCTAGTTCTGTCCTTTATTAAGTACGGGCCTGCGTAGTCCACACCGCAGGTGTAAAACGGTCGCGAGGGTGTGACCCGTTCCGCAGGTAGGTCACCCATTAGAGGGGAAACCGTAATGGGCCTCATGCGCGCACACTTTACGCAGTTTCGAATTACGCCGCGCACCGCGTTTTTCGCCGAAACTATCCAAAACTTTGTACGTAATGAGTACAATACGGCTTGTCCACCCGCGTGTAATAATTGCAAGTGTTCGTAGAGGATTATTAATTTTGTGAACGGGTGTTTCTGACTTAAAATTACGGGGTGTCGCTGCTGAAACGTGAGAGGAGCATTCCTCAGCCGTCCGCCCACCCTCAGCAAGCCTGAGTCATCAAGAAATGGGTTCAACGAATAAACAGTACTATTTTTTGAGATGTCCGTCCCGGATTTTAAGCTTTGAATTTGTTGCAGCGTAATAGTAAATTCATAAAGCCAGCGGATATAGAGTCACACCTTTTATAAACAATCAAGGCTTTTGCTTATAACCAAGTGCCCCTAAGGCGGCTATTTAAATAATAAAATCACTTCAAATCTGCATGGCCCTCCAAATCCAGTCGCTCTATGACTTTACTACCTGCAATAACATCAACAACCGGTGCCAGATGTTTTATGACCAGCCTCAGGTACCGCGCAAAACATTTTGGGCACCAAGCGGTGGCCCGAGCCCGTAGCCTCTCGCGGAAAAACCCGGGCCCGCAAAAATTATTAAAAACCACCGTTATATGCCGCCTCCCACCGACCAACTTCGCCGCCAAAATGATTGGTCGGCGTATTTACCATAAGAACCAGTCAGCAACTGATACCTCCTCCCATGGTCTTGGGTACGCCCATGGCGAGGTTAGCTCTTTGGGCGACCTTGGCCCAAAGAGCAGATTGAGTCAAAACATCAAACAAGCAGCACCGAGAATAAGACCGAACACTACCAAGCAGACCGAAGACTTCATCTGGCGGATATCACATATTGGAGCCTCCAAGCATATCCCCCTAAATAGTCGCACAATATTAAGTTGGCGTGCGACATTGTGCTACTGCGCAAAACAGAATTTCCGAACTGAAATGGCTGAGTTGTGCTATTTTTAAAAGTACGGTCCTGGCGTCCGCAATTTCGCGCACCGAAAGGCAGGTAGAGACCGAAACCATTGGTGCCGAATTATCCCGAGTCATTCGGTTTTCTCGATGTCTTCGCAACCACCGTGAACAATAGGCAGTTACGCGGATCAGGCGGCTGTACGACGAAAACCTAGTGAATATGTCCCATTCACTGGTTTGCGTCGATACAAGACATCTGCTAATTGTTCGTTCTTCCGGAGGATCTTGAGTGGTTACCTCCATTGCTGGCCAACAGTCAGGACTTTGCGCCAGCCACTCGGGTCCATTCCACCAGAGTCCAGCATTTGCTAATTCTGACGGTCGGAGTCCTCTAGAGATGATGTCCGCTGGGTTCTGTTCTGATGTTACGTGGTTCCATGTATCGCTCGTCAACCTTTGTATTTCTGTTGTCCGATTCGCCACAAACGTCTTCCATCGACTCGGGGAAGCCTTGAGCCACGCGATGACTATCGTCGAGTCCGTCCAATAAAATTCCTGATAGTCATGGCTCAATGCACTTCTAACCTTGCTAATTAATTGCGAAAGCAATAAGGCTCCGCACAGCTCAAGTCGTGGGAGTGAAATTCTTTTTAATGGAGCCACGCGTGACTTGGCACAAAGCAGCTGCACTTTGCATGTCCCTTGTGTACCTACAGTCCGTAAATATACACAGGCTCCGTATGCCCTTTCCGAGGCATCGCAGAACCCATGTATTTGAGTCGACTGGCAGTCAGGGAGAGAAGCGTGTCGAGGTACCACGATGCTGTTGATATGGTCCAAGTCCGTCCGGTACGTTGTCCACTGGGAATGAATGTCTTGGGGCAACGATTCATCCCATGCTAATTGTAGCTGCCATAATTTTTGCATGGACAACTTCGCCTGTAATATAGCAGGAGCTATCAGTCCTAGGGGGTCAAAGATTTTGGCTATGTCCGAGAGTATACTTCTCTTGGTGATCCGTTTGTCCTTAAAAATAGTCACCGAATACCGCAAATTGTCCTTGTTTGCATCCCATAAGAGTCCTAAAGTCTTTGGTTCCTTGTCCGCGTTGATTTCGACGTGTGGTTGTTCGTCTTCGCCCAAATTTAAGATGCGCATGTCATTGGTCGCCCATTTGCGAAGGGTAAAGCCTGCGCTGTCCAAAATCCTTTTCAATTCGTCCTTTAGTTCTTTGATTCATGTCCAAGAGTCCGTTCCTGTAAGGAGGTCATCCACATAGAAGTCTTCTATGATCGTTAAGCGGGCGGCAGGGAATTCTTCTCGGTGGATTTCCCCTAACTGACGAAGTGCTCGTGTGGCTAGAAATGGTGCTGATGCGGTGCCGTATGTCACCGTGTTAAGTTCGAAGACTCTTATTTCTTCTGATTCGTTTGTCCTCCACAAAATCCGTTGGTATTGGCGATCTTCCGTCCTGATGCGGATCTGTCGGTACATTTTTTCAATGTCCGCCGACAGCACGTACTTGTGTTTCCGGAAGCGCAACAAAATCGACAATAGGTCGTCCTGAACCGTTGGTCCAACCATTATTTGCACGTCGTTAACTGACAATCTTGATGTGCTCTTACACGAGCCATCAAACACAACGCGCAGCTTCGTAGTTGTGCTGGTCTCCTTCAGAACTGCGTGGTGCGGTAGAAAATATCCTGGAATTGAGTCTTGCTTGTCCAATCTCGCGATTTCAGTCATGTGTCCTAATTCTTGGTACTCTTTCATGAATTTTATGTAACGCTGTTTTAATTCTGGTTGTCTGCGGAGCCTGCGTTCTAAGGATAGAAGTCTGCGGTGCGTTTGTTCGTACGATGTTCCGAGTTCGATGAGCGTGTCCTTAAATGGAATTCCTACAACGAAGCGTCCGTCCTTGCCGCGTTCGGTGTTTTCCAAAAAATGCCGCTCGCAAAGGTCCTTGGGAATCTGTCTGGACGGCTCAGATGCGGAGTCCTCGATTTCCCAAAACCTTTGTAATTCTTCATGTAGTTGTTCGTTTGTTACTAGGTTGCAATTGACCTGAGAATTGGTTGCAGTGTCCGGAAAACCAATTCTGCCTGCTAAAACCCACCCTAATTGGGTTTTTTGCAGGATAGGTTGATTTCGACCTAGTGAATGCCTACCGATGCACTGAATGTCCCAAAATAATCCAGCACCAATGATCATTTGTACCTCGCGTGGTTCATTAAGCCGTGGGTCCGCTAATTTAAAGTTCGACGGAACCTGAATACGTCCGTTGTCCAGGGCTGTCCCTGGCAAATGCCCCGTGATCCGCGGTAGGATCAGACACGAAATGGACCTTTTAAATCCGTTGTACATGGATTTGATTTCTATCCATGCCTTGCGGTGCACTCCATGATTGGAGCCTCCTATTCCCGTGACGCGGGTGTTCGAGTCCTTACACGGTAAACCCAATTTCGTTATCATGGCTTCCGTAATAAAATGCGATTGCGATCCCGAGTCCAACAACGCTCTACATTCGTGCTTTAGTCCTTTATGATCCTTAATGTAAACTACAACGGTGGAAAGGATCACCGCTTCTGACACCGATTCTGCTTGTGTAACGCAAGACATAGAATTCAGCGCAGTATTTGCGCTCGTTTGTTCGGGCTGTTCAATGACTGTATTTGACTGTTTTGCAGTCTGGTCCAGGTGCAGAAGCGTATGATGCCTTTTCCCGCACAGTTTACACGGATCACGCGTACAGTCCATGTTCCGGTGTCCTATCGCTAAGCAATTAAAACATGCACGCAGTTGCTGTACGCGTGAAATCCGTGCTGAAGGCGTAAGCCTTTTAAATTCCGCACATTGGGCAACTGCGTGCTGTTTCTTACAAAGTAAGCACGAATGAGAGGTTGTAGCATGTGCGACTACCTGAGTTACCCGGGGACGGTTCGTACCTGCAACTGGCTGGTATTGCGGTTTGAGGGTAACTTGCGGTTTTTCGAATTGTACCTTTTCTAGGTATCGACAATGTTCCTCTAAAAATCCGTTCATGTCTCGTAACGTTACGTCGCCTGTAATTCGTGACTGGTGTCGTTCCCATTCACGTTTCGTCGCTGAATCTAATTTTGTCGATACCAGGTAAATTATTATTGTGTCCCAGAATTCTGTCCGTTCTCCTAAGGCCTTAAGGGCTAATAAACTATTGTTCACCCCGTCCAGTAATCGTCGCAGTCCTGTACATGATTCCTTTGCCACCGTCGGCAAATCCCAAAGCGTCCGTACTTGATTGTGCTTTAATGCCTTTTTGTTCTCAAATCGGCTCTTTAAAGCGTCCCATGCAAACAAATAATTCATGTCCGATATCCCCAACGTCTCAATCACCCTAGCCGCGTCACCCTTAATTGCGGAGTTCAAATAGTGAAATTTCTCTATGTTGTTCAGTGTACTGTTCGTATGAATTAATGACTCGAATGTATCCCTAAATTTAATCCATAAACTATATGTCCCGTCGAAGGTTGGAAGCTCGATGGTGGGTGGCTTAACCTTAGACTGAATCTCAAAGTTTGACTGAGACGTATTTGAAGCCATCCCAGTTGCAGGTCCAACCCGTGGGAGCTCCGGTTTTTGCCATTGCGAAATGATGTCTTCCGCAAGACCAACAGTTTCGCAATAGTCAAGTTCAAATTCATCGCGTATGGTTTCATGCGTGCGTTCAGCTTCGGTGCCTTCTACTGTACTTTCGATTTTCTGTTGCACCGAATCGAAGCTCTCAAATATAGGCGTCGTTTTACCTAATCGTACTCTAAGCGCAGCAGGACTGGATGTTCTATCGTACGAATCGACATAATTTTTGAAACGCGTCAAAGTTGCCCTGATCTTTCCGCGTTCAAGAATGAGGTTCTTTAGTGCGGGGTCCATTGTCTCAACACAGGTCGAAAGAAATCAGAAAGGACTTACAGGTAGTTGACGAGGAATACTCAGCGTCGTGCGTCGTCCAGAGCCTTTCAATGCCTCAGGTGCGTCCGATACAGGTCAGGCGTTGGCCTTGGCGTCCCGAGTCCTTTGGTGAGTTGGTAAGCGCCTGATGTCGTCTACCGAGCAGGTAGCTGTTGTCCGATGTCAGCGTCCTTCTTCCAACCCGTTGTCCAGGTCAAGAGTGGTTTATGACTGCGTTGTCGTTCACAGTTCCACAAATTTCACTCGTTTTCGCGACCTTTAATGTTCGTTGTACGTTCTTTGTCCGGTTCACTGATTTTACAATCCGGCTCGAAGGACCAAATGTTAACTCCGTACTTGTTCGAGGAGTTAGATTATGTAGTAGATCAATTTATTTTATCTACGATCACAATAACTTCTTAAAATTAATAACCAGAAATATGGTCTAGCAAAGTCCAAGTTCTGGTCAGGCGTCCAAATGCCTTCAGAAACCAAGATGTTCCCGTTGGCGTCCAAGTGCCTTCAGAAACCAAGATTGGTCTGGTTGGCGTCCAAAATGCCGTCCTCGAGGAAGACGTCATGTCTCCCTCTTAGTGCCTCCTTGGAGGCGTCGATGTTCGGATTGGGCCTTGTCCTGCTCAATCCGGAATTTGTTTAGGTTTTGGATTGTGCAACGCCCACAGCCTAGTTTGTTCATCTTGCAAATCAAGGTCTGCAGGACGTTGCACAATCCCTGGGTTAATTTATTACCCTACTTTGTCCTAGTGACTGTCCTGGTCCTGATGGCAAGCACGTGAGGGTCTGCGATACATCAATTGCCGTTGAGGGTGGTCTAACCGGGGACCGTTTCCAGAGAAATCTGAAACCGGCATCCGGCCAGACCTAGTCCTTTGGAAATTGCATGCTGTCCGTGAAAAATTGTGACTTCCTCAAAAACGGCACTGTTCATTGTCGAGTGTAGCGGAAACCCTTCTCGTGGCGGCAACACACGTTATAAAGAAAAAAAATATTAAAAAATTACAAGTATACAATACGGAAATTTAATTTGTAGTCAAATAAATTCAGACAATAATCTGAACAAATGAGCATTTCAATTTTTCTAAGGACGTTCCACAATTTCAAAAAATTAGGAAAAATTACACACTAATAACCGCAACGAGACCCAAAAACTGTAAAAATATAAACGTGGCCACTATGATAACTTCAATATGAAATCGGCATTTTTAAATATTTTTAATTGTTTTAATTCGCAACGAAAAAATCTGAAAAATTCAAAAACGTGTACACCTTCGGGTAGAGTGTTCACGATTTGTTTCATAATTTTGTATTCGGTACAACAAACCCACAAACGTTTTTAAACTTCTTTGATCGTTTAAAATTCCGTTTTGCAACTAAAAATTGTGAAAGAATTCAGAATATTCGTGATTTTTTTTATAATATTTTATTCGACACAACAAAAGAAATGGAGCTTAAACTGTAAATTACGTCGTGCAACAACCCTAACCGTAACAGCAAGGGAGGCGAGTTAATATTCTCTAAAAAAAGTGCTCCATCGATACATTTAAAATTGAATTTGGTTTGGGGTCACATTTACCATGCTTATTCGGACGCTTTCCGCGTCCATGAGTTTTCTAGAAGGGCGGCGAGGGGCGATGGCCTCGCAGGTAGGTTCGAAACGTGTTAAGTATAGCATCGGGAATTTTGTCTTTCACGATGTTTGAGTCCGAGATATCCGGTGAAACGGACGCTGGAAAGCGAACGATGGTTCGCAAGCGATACACGCCACGCGTTTCGACTGTGTGCTTCTTTTCGTTTCAGCAGTAACTTCTCTGATATCGACTGGAGTCCTCCACTCGGTTGCATATTCGCTCAACGTACCGTAAACAAGTCAATACAGATGCACACACGCGTGCATACATCTTGCTTCTCTCTACTGTATCTTGCCGTTATCCTGCAGCGCTTCGCCCTTCCTGGCCAACGGGACTCTTTGAAGCAAACGCTGTCCGATAAACTCCTATTGATTGAAAGCCTTACGCTTTTTATTTCGGGTACAGCTATTCGCTTGCCCTTCTATTTCTATTTTCATAACGGTGACGAGTCGCTCGCGAGGACGACGACGCACTGCCTCTGCTGTCGACACGTTCGCGTAATCGACAGACAAATGGTCTTTTTTCTTCCATCAAAGACACCCAGGTTGTTAACATTGCGAAAAAGGGGCTAAATTTCGTGTGTAAATATACATTGTATTAAATAATATTGCATTTATCATCATTTTTAAAGGGGGGTGTTAGAAAATTTATATTTAATTTTGTTTGGCTCTGAAGGAGTCAACAAGTGCACAAAAATAACGCTCATTTTTCTCATTTACAGTTTTTTTTCAGGTCCAGCGGATCAAGACAATGTGACGAGAGTTCTCGTTCTCGCGGCCAGAGGGCCACGCTCTCGATGTTTCTCTTGTAAGCGCTCGACCAACCGCCTGCTCTTATACTATACAGGGTATTCGTCCACTCCTGGGAAACATTTTAATGAGAGATTCTAGAGGCCAGAAGAAGTCGAAAATCAAAAATACCAATTTGTTGATTGAGGCTTCGTTAAAAAGTTACTAACGAAATTATTGTCAAAAATTATTAATAAAATTTGTCCACCTACACGAATTTTTTCCTCGAAAATGCGTAGGATCTAGGGGGTATATGTATTCACCAAAAGTGATTGTAATTGACCCCTGTAGCTAAAAATAATTTTTCTGGAATGATTTGAAATCTTTTTATTTCGCCGAAAAATTTTCCGGTCGGTATGGAACTTTAAACGTTAATAACTTTTTAACGAAGACTCAATCAATAAATCGGTATTCTTGATTTTCAACTTATTTTGGTCTCTAGAATCTCCCATTAAAATATTTCCCAGAGATGGCCGAACACCTTGTATATGTATACGCTTCTCGACTGGCCATTGAATGTCCAAACATCTGAGCCAAGGTCTGCTAGGGTTGCATCACTAATGAGTTCACTAGTTTGACCTGTATAGTAAGTACCCGTTATCAAAGTTCACCCTTCATTACTAACCAAATTTTTTGCACGTACACACCCTCCAAACTATTAAATTTCGAAATCTTGTAATTTCAAGGGCTTCCTGCAAGCTTTTCAAAGGATAAACAACTAACAAATATCTCTCAAACACCAAGTTACAAGTCTTATTTGATGATGCCCACCAATATCAAGACTTGAATTATCAACCTCCATTATAATCCAGTTACGAAAAAATATCTATTAGAAAATTTGAGATACAAACCATCCCATTTGAGGTCATCATATTCTGTCACGCTTTAAAAATCGACCATGAGCTTGAATTGAAAAAAGACAAAAGCCCCCCAAACTTAATTTTAAATCTAAAAATGGTGACCAGTGCCAGAACAAATAGTTCCCCCAACAACCACTATCCCACCAGCCTAGAGTAAAGTAGGTCCAACAGTGGCACCTGACCCTCAGACCGTGACCTAACAGAAACAAGGCGAAATGGAAATGTACCTTGAGTACAAAATAAAAGAAGAGATCCACTTCGCTCTCCAACTCCAAAGACACTGTGAAAACACCAGTCCCCTTTAAACGAAGTAAGTATTGATATATCTGCCGCACCAACTCCACGAAGTACAGTGATTTGGTATATTTGCTGTCTATACAGGCAAACAGGAAAATCTATAGTTCCTCGAAAATCGCAAATAACAAACCAATACATTAACTTCTATATAGAATGTTAACAAAAAAATCTACGATTTTAGAAATTGGGTCATAAAACTTCCAAAATTATTCCTTTGTTTACAGTCGATTTATTAGAAAGAGACTTGTTGCTTGTAAATATAAAAGTTAATTTTACATTGAAAGGATCGATTTTTTTATTCAATCAATTGTAGTACTGACAGGTCCAGAATTCGTAAACCAGGAAGTTGTAACGATTGTGGACACAGGATCTGAATGTAATTAAGAAAAATGCAATTCCTCTAGGTATTATCATACCCAATGTAAATGACACTTGTACAGAATTAGCATAATGAGATATAATTTTTTCGTTTACATTTAAAATTACATTTCTGATACAGAATACGATATTGGTGTTAATATTGTATTAATTTCTGAATCAGATAAAATGTACATGTCAGTCTTGTTTGCAATTTCGCGCGCTGCATGGTTTGCTATCATCTTCCATAGTTATCGAGTATCTGACATGCCGGTTTCTACGTATGTTCGTCATCTAGGACAAAAGTTGGAATCCGTAAGAGGAGTTCAGACCGCAGGATAGCCTCGGGGATCTAGCAATGTTCTGAGAGAGGTATTGAACTTGTCAAATATTGATGTCTCTTTGCAACTGTGTCGGTTAGCTAAGTCTTGTTGTCTAGCAACTGTCTATTAATATAGCGACGAATATTTGAATATCTCGTAGAGAAAAATAGTCTACCAACATTTTGAAAAATTAATCGTTGACTCGATGCTCGTTCAGGACCAATCATTAATATTCCAATTTAATTTTTGTGTGTTCACATTCACTTAAGTAGTATCACTTGTTAAAATTTTCAGATATTATCTGTATGTTCATATAAACTGTGTTTAATTATTTTTACGTGCCTCGAAGTGAATGTCATATATTACGAAAGGACTTATTTGCCTATTACATCCACGTTTTAACTGTTTAACATTGTTGATTCATTCTGAAATATTCGTGGAAACTGAAGCAGAAAATTTTATCCGCATTAAAAAGAAAAAAACAAGTTTTTCGTACCGAGGTTCACGGACGAACGTCACATAATTAGGAGACTTAAGACGAAACTTGAGGGCACTTAGTTATCGCTGCACCTTCAGAGAACCCTCAAACGATGTTTCTTCAATTAGTCGCCAGGATACGCCCTCATATTGAAGAAGCTAGTAAAGAATGTCGAATGAATATTACAGGTTAATTAGCTACTTTCTCGGTTCTTCAGCCCGCAATATTAT